CATCCTGGCCGCTTCGCACTCGGCCGCGAACCGCTCCAGCGAGAGCTGCAGATCTCGTTCTAATGAAGCCAACAGGACCACACCATCTGCAAAAAAGCAAAGATGCGATCCTAAGGCCACCAAAACGGATCCCCTCAACACCTCGGCTGCGCCTAGAAATTCTGTCCATGAAAGTAATGAACAGAATCTGTGACAAAGGGCAGCCTTGGCGGAGTCCAACTCTCACCGGAAACGAGCCCGACTTACTGCCGGCAATGCGGACCAGGCTCTGACACCGGTCGTACAAGGACCTGACAGCCCGTATCAAAGGGCCCGGTACCCCATACTCCCGGAGAACCCCCCACAGGGCCCCCTTTGGGACACAGTCAAACGCCTTCTCCAAGTCCACAAAACACATATAGAACAGTTGGGTGAACTCCCATGCACCCTCCAGGACCCTGCTGAGGGTGTAGAGCTGGTCCAGTGTTCCACGACCAGGACAAAAACCACACTGCTCATCCTGAATCCGAGGTTCGACTATCCGACGGAAACATCTGAACATTAGTTTCATCTTAATATAGACCAAAATTTAATACAACCATTTTCTAGTGTAAAAAAAACCAGATGAATCAACTGCATTGTTGAGCACCGATCCAGTGAGAAACTTTCTGTTTCAGAAATTTAATTTAAAAACTGGACTTTCGAAGTTAAACAAATGTTCATAATTAATTTCATTAAATTACAAGTTAAGAAGAGCATGGAAATTTCTCTTTTTGTATCAACAGAATATCAAACCGTGAGACTAAAGTATCGAACCAAATCGTGCATTTTCTGCAGTCGCACCCCTAATATGTAAGTATAAACAAATACAAAAATGAAAAAAATCAATGTTTTGCAACATAAGAATCAGTCATTTTAGCTCCTTGTTTGAAAAGGAGCGAGAAGATAACACTGTTTGTAAATTCACACCCCTTTATATTATCTGTCGTTACTCAGTATACCTTTATGTCAAAACTCATGTTACAGGGTATCTTATATTAAAGGGGCAATATCATGTAAAATCAACTTTTTTGAGTTTTATATCATGTTATAATGTTATACTCTCATCAAAAACATGCTCAAAGCCTTGCTTTGACTCATTCATGCACGTTTGAYAAATCCTGCAGTGTTTTTAGGAAGCCATGCTGAGGAGTAAAACGACAGGTGGGGACCAGAAACGCCCCCTGGGACGTGTTTTTAAGCCAAACTACCTCATGGCAGTTTTAATAATATATACACAGCCTAGTCAGTAAAAATATACTGCATCCAAGTGCTGGTCATAAAATTAGAATTTCATAAAAACATGGATTTATTTCAGTGATTCCATTCAAAAAGTGAAACTTTATTATATTCATTCATTACACAAAGACTGATATATTTAAAATGTTTATTTCTTTTAATTTTGATGATTATAACTGACAACTAAGGAAAACCCCAAATTCAGGATCTGAGAAAATTTGAATATTGTGAAAAGGTGAGTTTACCTGAACATCCTCAGACTGAAGAAGTCTCTTGGAGGAGAGACGAAACGTCCAGAGGACCTACTTAACCTTTTTTAGAGTTTTCTACCTGGATTATTGACATGCATCGGGACGTTCTGTCACATGCTGCTACAGCTCAACATGCTCTCACATTTGCAGATACTGAGCTCAAATCAGGTCTGATAGTAGCTGAGAGTCATTGCCTACATAAACTTAACTGCTTAAGACTGTGCATAATATCAAATATGAGATTCATCTGTTGTGTGCTGCACTTACTTGCTGGGTGACTTCACGTCTCTGGTGAGTAAGAACAAATATCCACGGTGCCAGAGGGCCAACAGCTTGAGACCGTCAAAAGCAAAGCAAGGCCCCCGTTCATCTGGTTGGTACAGGTACACACATTCATTCCCAGCAACGACGAACTGGGAATCCTGGGACGGATCAGACAGGGACGAGCAGCGCAGCGCACAGCCATGGCTACCGAGCTCTAATTTAGGATATTCCTTGTTGGACAGGGTGTAGCACTGAGTAAGAAAAGACAGCAGCTTTTAAAATCGTGTTGGTTAAATGGTCAAAGACTCCCTGACACAGTTACAGACCCGACTTACAAAAACTTTCTCCAGAGTGGCAACAAACAAATGTGTCATTTTGGCCATTTGTCTGAAGGCAAGGCCGGTGACTGGACTGCTCCCCTCGTGCAGATTCACAGTTTTACTGTGACGATCTCTGGTGATGTCACCTTTGGTCAGAACCACACTGCCGTCTGTGAAGCCTGTCGAGAAGCAGAACACAACACTGAGGTCTGAACTGTTAAATAAAGACGTGTTAAAGCAAACATATGATGCTTTAAGTCCTTTTAAATCCTTCAGCCAGGTCTATATAAAGTGAAACTGTAACGCTTTGGTCTGAATTCCTCCTTATTGTAACTCCACAAGCCCCGGCCCTTTTCTGAGGTGTTTCTCACAGCAACTCGTTTTGAGGCTGTCCCAGACCCTGCCCCCCTCCAGCTTCCAGACCGGTTCATTCTAGTTTGATAGAGGGGTTTATGGTTGTATAGCTGCGCAGAAACTTTGGATTTACAGGGCTCTAACTAACTTTTTGCACTGGTTGCACCGGTGCGCCTAACATTTTTTCTTAGGCGCACCAGCACAAAAGTTAGGTGCACCCAAATTTTCAACCACATCACCTAACATCAGAGTTTTACAGGTTATTTTTTTAATCACTCGAAAATAATTAGTTAACAYTCTAGTAAATATGAAGTTCTTTATTTGAACCAGAATTGTAGACATTTAACTTACTGAAAAGTATTTAAAGTGATTCTATAAAATTCTAAGTGCAAATGTTTAAGGGCTGAATGTCTTATAAACATCTTAAACATTTCATGGTTAAATTTTTTTAGACACCTGCTCCTCAGATGGACAACTATGGATCTTTGGCCTTGGATCAACCAGAATGATGAACAGAGAATAAT